CCTCAGCCTCCCAAAGTGCTGGGATTACAGGCTGAGCCACCGAGCCCGGCTCTCTTCTCTTCTATTAATCCACCAAAATTACAAGTGGCATTTTTTCTTTAACAAGTGACATTTTTCTAAGCATAAGGAGTCACAAGCCTACGTTCAAGATTGGGACTTTATTTGGTACTGAAATTCATCATGCCCACTGGTTCTCATTTTTATAATATGGTTTCTGTCACACCTCCTCAGCAAAAATTGGATCTCACCCTCATCAGAGCACGGCAACTAGCTCTGGATTCTTCAGTAAAAGAAAGATGGAAAGCTGGTGAGAAACAAGAGAAGGTACCTAGGAAACCACTATAAGGAGTTGTTAAATTAACCCTGAAGAAAATCTGAAAGGAAAGAAATCATCAAATCATCTAGCCTAGCAAGAAGTTGACCAAAGAACTTTGTATATGGTAATTTCCAAATATGGGACAGAAAACAGTGATAATTTTTTAGCTACCCATCCACTTTTCTCTATCTTTACTAACACGACCTTAATTTAGGCCTTCATTATTTAACCCCTGAATTCTACAACCACCTCCTGTTTTGACTCTATTTTCTTCCCTTTCCAATTTACTCTCTACATGACAGAGTTCTCTTTCTGAAATGTAATTCTGGTAACTTTATTGCCTGACTGAAACACTCCAATTGCTCCCCACTGCGAGTCTAAACACACTACCCTGTAACTGGCTGTTTGTCTTGGTCCTTGAATCTCTTACAGTACTATAAGCTCTACAAGAGCAGTCAGTTGTAAATTCACAGCTGAAGATTCCTGGCACCTACCACAGAGCCTGGCTTATTGGGCACACATACACTAAGTGAACTAATGAATAATACCAAGAAGGTCCTCACACTGAAAAATATTTAACAGAAAAAGTTGCCAAAGAAAAGTTTTAGATGTTGCTTTTCCAAAGGCAATTTAAAATAAACATACTTTTTTTCTGTCTGTCAAGAACTGCTTAAGCTTAGAATGGCTTAAAGGGAACAGAAACAGGACATACAAAAGCTAGATGACCTCTCTCAAATCCATTCCAGACTCAAACCTTAAAAGAAGCAAGGTTATCTACTTGAGGAGCAGGGGAAGAAGGAAGTGGTAAGAACTGGTTCCAGAACACATTTGCCAAAGGGCCCCTTCCTCTGATTCCAGTAAGTCTGGTCTGTATGATGCCCTAGTAAGAGAGGAGAAGGAAGAGGAGAGACCACTGAGGTGAATCATAGATCTGCCAGTGGCCACTTCACTCTTTCACTACAGCTCCTGTCAGAACCAGTCTCCCACCCTGGCTGGCCTTGCTCCCAACAGGTTCCAGTAAAATTGTTTTCTCCCCTTTAGGCCTAGAGTGCTTAAAAGCTTCCTGCTATTACATTACCCCAGGTGTCCTTGGTTCCTGGTTACAACATCTTTTACTGGTTCCCACAACCTTTCCCATATTTCTCTGAAAAGTCCCTTCATTAAAATCACTTCAAAATCCTAGCTGAGTATGCCTTATGTTTCCTGCCTGAATCCTGACTGTTATAGTTTATGAACACAAACAGAAACAGCAGATTAGGCTGGGAGTGATGGCTCATGCTTGCAATCCCAGTGCTTCCGAAGGCCAAGGTGGGAGGATCACTTGAAGTCAGGAGTTCAAGATCAACCTGGGCAACATAACGAAATCCCTGTCTCTGAAGAAAAATTTTTAAAAATTAGCTAGGTGAGATGACAAATGCCTGCCATCCCAGCTGAGGCAGAAGGATCACTTGAGCCTAGGAGTTCAAGGTTACAGTGACCCATGATCATACTACTGCACTCCAGTCTAGGTGACAGAGTGAGGCCCTGGAAAATGGGTACTGGTATATTCCTTTTTTACTATAAAAATCATATAATTATGTAATCTTATAAACCATAAAAGAAGCAAAGTGAAGCAATGTAATTAGTTGTTAATAACTAAATCTGATTCTAACTGAGAAGACCCATAGTTGTTTAAAGGACTATTTTTTTTTTTTTTTTTTGAGTTCGAGTCTCACTCTGTCGCCCAGGCTGGAGTGCAGTGGCACACTCATGGCCACCCCAGTGTCGACCTGCTGGGCTTCAGTGATCCTTCCGCCTCAGTCTTCCAAGCAGCCGGAAATACAGGCGTGCACTACCACACCAGCTAATTTTTTATTTATTTTAGAGATGAGGTCTCACCAAGTTGCCCCAATTGGTCTCGAACCAATGGCTCAGGCAATCCACTCGCCTCAGCCTCCCAAAGTGCTGAGATTACAGACTGAGTCACCAAGCCCGGCCTAAGGAATTTTTTAAAGTGACTGTGCTCCAAGCCAGAATTCACAGAAACTAGCTATAGGTGAAGAATAAAATGCAATTCCTAGTAAGATATTTTAGAAAAGGTTGATCTGAGTTTAGTTAAAAGTAAAACACAGTTTTGAACAAACTAAGTTAGATTCATTACCATTTTTAAAATTCAATATTCATCCAGTGTCATTCCTCTTTCCAAAAAACAAAATTGAGGTCTATTAAACTTATAATCACCATCTTACTTATTAAGAAAATAATTATCTTAAAATAAGAATCTTATGTCAAATAAAAATAGATTCTAAGACAAGGAAATTGAAAAGCCTTTCTCATTTTGGCATTTAACTTCAAGTAATCTTAGCTAATGACACTCTAATGTACTGATCTCACTTCCCCTCACGGAAGGGAGTGGTAAAGGGAGAAAAAGAGGAAGAAGAGAAATTTTAGTTTCAAACAAAATACTCAGATTATGCTGCAACATCAAACAAAAGTGGGCATTTATATTTATAATAAGCCATGCTGTGCTGAAATCTGCAGCATGCTACTGACCCTCTGGGTGGGTTTGTGAGACTGGGTCTCTTATAGAATCCTCATCCCTCCCCAGGAATTTAGCTAGAATAGCCTAAACATTGGCTGGTCTACTCTATAGAATGGTGAGAGGTTTATTTCTTATGGTGGCTCTGAAACAAGGCTGAATGTAAAACAGGTACAGATGTCAGACATGTAGGAATCTGACTGAAAGAGAGAAATCAAGCTGAGAGGCAGAATGTCCTGACATTTTCAAAAACTGAGTTAACTATTATCCCCTTTTTCTCTTTGTAACAAAAGTACAATAGAGCAGGAATGAGGCAGGAAATAATGGCCTTGTCTTCTCCAGACCAAAGCCGGTTTCCATACCCATACCACAGCTATAAAAATGATTTATAAATACAGAAACAGAGTGGCTGATAATGAATAAAATATCCTTAGAAAGTACTGAACTGCAGCTGAAAATCTCTTTGAATATAAATAAATAAATCTTTGTGTCAACCAAGTCTCACCCTCCCTTTCCCAAAGATATGAGTGAAACCAAAAGAGGGGCAGAACATGCAAAAATTTTCACATTTTTAATGTAATGAATTTCTGATATTATAATGGAGTAGCATAAGGTGACAACCAAAAAAACAACTCTTGTAGTCTAATGTCTTAAAATCCACACACTTTCACCTTGCATGTGTGGAAGAAGAAAGAGCAGAAGATAAAATCACTTCCACCTGGACCACTGCTTTTCTTTATCTGTTAAAGGCACGTATATCACCCCCATCAGAGGCTTCATTTTGACGCTGCCATCTTGTAGTTTGTCATACTGCTCCAACATTTGGTTTCCACCTGCAGGCCCAACTGGTAATATCAATCTTCCACCAGGCTTTAACTGGTCTATTAGCTAAATAAATAAATGAATGAATAAAAAGAAAGAAAAACACATATACACTAGGTTATACATTTTATATAAATATCATTTAACATTAATGTAAACAACTTTTAGTGTCCATGACCGAAAGAATAAATGTACTTTATGTAGCATAGAGCATCACTCTATGCTCAAAACTCTTTATGTACTTTATGTAGCATAGAGTATCACTCGAGACTCAAACCTCGAAACGTTACAAAATCTAAATCTCTTTGAACACCCAACATGACATCACAAGTGGGTAATTTCACACCTAACCTCATGTGATGAGTCACAGTTAAAACTTTGTTTCATGCACAAAATTATTTAAAATATTGTATGAAATTACCTTCAGGCTATATATATAAGATGTATATGAAATACAAATGAACTTCATGTTTAGACTTGGGTTCTATCCCCAGGATATCTGGTTATATATACACAAATATTCTACAATCCAAAAAAATCTTTAAAAAAAATTCAAAACACTTCTGGCCCTAAGCATTTTAAATAAGGGATATTTTAACTGCATATACTTGAATTGTTATGCTATTACTCATCAATTAGCCTTCTCTATGAAACCACAAGTTCCTTGAGGACAGGAACTGTGTCTTACTCATCTTTGTGCTGCTAGCATCTAACACAGTATAACCTGGTATAACTGCAGTGCTCAAAACGTTCTAATTGAAGCATCTAATGCAGAACTGCCCTCTCGAGGAGGCCATGGGCAAAGCATACAATTCTAATGCCTGTGTGCCTGTTTTGAAACTTTGTGGGTTGGAAAGGAGAGGGTGAGGAAGGAGAAGTGTAGGAAATCAGCAAGGAATCCCTATTCTATTATTGTAGAATCTAGGACATCACTGAAGCAAAGAGAAGGGAATCCTAGTCTATAATTAAATTTAGGATTACCGGTACCATGAGGAGGGAAGGTAGGGCTGGAGTCCCTGCAGTATTAGAATGAGGATACCCTATCAATGAAGAACCAAGAACATTCAATGAAAGCCCCTCCAGTCAGAAAGCTTTTAAATCATGTTACCATTTTCATATAGCCTTATAGATTAATAAGAAGCAATAAGAAAGAAATCTTAGTTTGGATAGTATTTAATATCCCAGGGAAAGCTGCCCTCATTAAAATTTTGGTTGTCAGTGAGTCTTAATTTTTCCATTTTAATTTTTATCAAAGTAATACTTGGAAGTATATTTTGAGTTGTTTTTCTCAATTTCAAAGTTTACAAGGAAAAACATCAGACTTGCTCCCTCTCCGCAAACTTATTCCCTAAATGCAGTCATTTTAAACCCTATTAGCGGTGTCTTCCATAAGGATTGAGCTCTCGTAACATACATTCTGCTTCCTTCCCCCAATTCAATCAATCATAATTTTTATTAAAATCATTTTCAGTTATAACTGTGTAAATATGATTTGATGCTGAGCCAAGAAGAATACAGTGATTGTTTTCTTTCTTATATAATAGTTTTGTTTCCCTACAGCTAAAATTGAAGTCTATTCTTTCTTCATTCACTTAATTTTCTTTGTAAATGTGTCTAAATCCTTCTACCCTCCAATAACTTCTCAACAAAAATTCACAGTCAAACCTTCCTAATTAGTACTTTTTTTTTCTTTTCTGTAGACTCCTTTCTAGCAGCTTCCTCCTCTTGTTCCAAATCTGGACTGACCTGTTGCACAGCCTTCACCCTGGGACGACCCTCTGCAAATAACCCTGGGCACTCCCATACCTCTCTTTGGCCAAGATGCCCTACCCCTACTTGGTTTCCTCTTTTGGTTTTTCCTACTGTCTCCCCCTTCTCTTACTGCCTCATTTTTAAATGATATTATTATAGCAATTCCTCCAGAAGCACTGTGTGAAAATAGTGCAGGGAATATTCTTAAACAGATTGAGATTTGTAAGTCAAACTATCTTTATTTATTTGGTGATGTGTGTGCAAATATAATTCAAGGTTGGAAGTAATTTTCAGTTCAGAATTTTGATGGTTTGCTCATCTGACTTGTTGATTCAAACGCTGTTATTTTGCAGTCTGATACTCTTCTAATTACCAGTCTTAACAGAAGATCTGTTTTGCTTTTCAAGAAACATTTAGAACCTTCTCTTTTATCCCTAATATTCCAAAATTTCATGATGATACTGTGGTTTTTTTCTTATTTTAAAAATTCATTGTCTTGAGCACTTAGTAGATAGATATTTTCAAACTAACTACAGAATGATGTTTATCAGTGTTTGGAAAAATTTTTTCTTAGGGCTTAGTAGCAGCCCCTCTTTTTAGATCCATGCTTCACTCTGAATTCCAAGGTCTTAAAACCTCTAGTTCCTAAGCCTTTTCAGGTTTCTGCAGAGCAAACTGCTTCTGCATGCTATTCCTCTCTGCATTCTCTCATTTTACTTCCTCCCCACTTCTGGGTCAGTTATTACTCCATCTGCTTCCTAGTTTCACACACTGCAGAGTTCAGGATTACAGATATAATCTCCTAGTTCACTGAATATGGAGTTTATGTCTCTGCTTCCTGTTTTTCTAGTCGTTTTGGGGTGATATCCAAGAGGAGGCATAAACATCTTTAATGAAAAGATGTTAAAACTGGAAAGCTCCTTCAGACCACATACCTTTCAATTTAATCAGGTGTATATAGACCCCATAATACTTGCAAGTGCTACTATAACATTTAAATTCATATTGCGCTAAATCTAGAAATAGTGTTTGAGATCAGCTCAAGACCCTGGTAGGGAAGCTGGGCCTTACACCCACTCCTCTTGTTTGAACACAGTTCTATTCTATTTCACATTTTAACTATTCACTCTAAGCTGCCAATATTTTTTTAAAAAGTTAAAAACCCATTGGTAATATGCTTATATGTGAAAACTTATTGAGTTGTTTATTTATGACTCATACACTTTTCTACATTATGTTAATTTAATACTTCAATTAAAATGTGTTAAAACTGCTGGTTCAGTCTACCTTTTTTTTTTTTAAACAGACAACCAACAGGGTCAGAGAGATTAAATGATTTTCCCACTCATTCAGCCAATAAGCACTAAATCAATGACCAAAGCAAATCCCTTAACCTTCAGCTCCTCATAACTGATCTTAACATATAAAAAATAAAATTTTACAGGTTGGGGAAAGGATGAGACTATGCAGAAGAAGCAGTTACTTTCAACCCCAATCATCTAGTCAAGAACTACATAAAATTTATATGTAATAGAAACCTGGGATTTCAGTGATCTTTACAAAAGATTATTAAGGCCTGACATATATTTATCAGAGTCCTACTAAAATGAAAAATCAACATTGTACCTTGAATATTTCCTTGACTATATATTATACAATCTCGGAATGTTCTTTCTTCCCATTGCCAACAATGCATATCCTACTAGTCTTTTTTTTTTTTTTTTTTTGAGTTAGAGTCTCACTCTGTCGCCCAGGCTAGAGTGCAGTGGCACACTCACGACACCCCAGTGTTGAACTGCTGGGCTCAGGTAATCCAGAACTACAGGCGTGTGCTATCAAGCCCAGCTAATTTTTTGACTTATTGTAGAGATGAGGTCTCACCAAGTTGCCCAGGCTATTCTCAAACCCAGGGGCTCAGACAATCCCCTCACCTCAGCCTCCCAAAGTGTTAGGATTATAGGCTTGAGTCACCATGCTCTACCATATCCTACTATTCTTTAAGATTCACTTCAAGTTCCATCCCTATGTCAAGTCTCCTTAATTGCAAAATTCTCTCCCTTATCTACACATTTTCTTTGCCCGCCACTATATATCATATACTAAAGACAGGTTATCATATAATTAATTTTTCTATTATATGTGTGACACATCTCTACTAGGATACAAGATCTGTGAGGGTACAATGTATGACAAATACTTCTGGTATCTCCCATGCACCTAATGTATCTTGCATATTCTAGTATTTAACAAAACACCAAAAAAATTTTTTTTTAATTTTAATAAAGGAGGAAAAAAAAGCCTGGGTGTGGTAGCTCACACCTATAATCCTAACACTTTGGGAGGACGAGGCAAGAGGACTGCTTGAGCCCAGAATTTCAAGACCAGCCCAGGCAACATAGTGAGATCTCATCTCTACAAAAATTTTAAAAAATAAAACACCAAACTAAGTACCAGGTCATGAACTCCAAAGGGATTTTCTCAATTTTACTGTTGTCCTAGTTCCTACCCGGATCAAATACTGCTTCAAATAAGACAGTCATGGCCAGGCACAGTGGCTTACGCCTATAATCCCAGCACTTTGGGAGACTGAGGTGAGAGGATTGCCTGAGCCCACAGGTTCGAGACCAGACTGGGCAACTTGAAGAGACATCATCTCTACAATAAATCAAAAAATTAGCCAGGCGTGGCGGTGTGTGTCTATAATTCCAGCTACTTGGAAGGCTGAGGAGGAGGGATCGCCTGAGCCCAGCAGGTCAAGGCTGTTGTGGCTGTCCACTGCACTCCAGCATGGGCAACAGAATGAGTCTTTGACTCAAAAAGAAAAAAAATATAGCCATGAGCTTGTGTTTAGTAATTTTCCTGTCATTTACATAATTATTTGCATATGGAAAAAAAGTAATAGCTAAGTATAACCAAAAAGCATGACACAAAAGTCGAATTATATTTTGGACATCATCTAGAAGTCATCTCTATATAAGTCTTTTAGAGTTTTAGTTGAATAAAACACACAAACACCACAAAAAATCCCAACTCACTGCCTGGGGCACCACTGGGGCTGCAGCTCCTACATGAATAGCATCATAAGGGGCTTCTTCGGCATAGCCCATTCTTCCATCTCCCACTGAAAGAACAAAGTTACACTTTCAAACCCTGTTCAGATCAAACCTAATGTGAAGAATTATAGCACAAGAGGCTTAAAATGGAGACAGGATAGATTTTTCAATAAATGATCCTAGGACAACTGGATATTCATATGAAAAAAATATAACTGGGCCCCTACTTCACACAGATACAAAAATCACGGTCAGGAAGATCAAAGACCTAAATGTGAAAAGTTATAACAATAAAGCTTCTAAGAAGTAATATATGGGGAGGGGCACAGAACATCAATAAGGGCACCCACACTTTACCTGTATGATGACTACATATGTACCTAACCCTCATTTGTACCCCACATTTTAAAAATAAAATAATTTAAAAATAATTATAATATAGGAACATACTGCATGACTTCAGGATATCCTTAAGCATGACACAAAAAGCACTAGAAAAATTGGTAAGTCTGACTACAATAAAATTAAGAATGTTTATTCAACAAAACCTGCTAAGTATACCACAGAGGGAAAAATAAAATTTATAAAATGTATAAACAAAGGGCTAGAAGCTGTAGAAATCAAATAAAATACAAACAACCTAATACCTGAACAGGTACATTACAAAAGAGGAAATTCAAATGGTCACACACATTGAAAAAGGTAACCAACCTCACTGGTTAATAAGAAAATACAAAATTAAAATCACAATGAGATACAGTGCTATTCACTCACCAGGTAGGCAAAAAGATAAATTGTTTTTCTTTTTTAGTACTTAAAAGCAAATTTTTAAACAATGCAGTAATTACTTCGTGTATGTTATTTAGCTTGCTCTAGATTTTCTGAAAATAAAAATTCTCTGGAGAAGAGAGAAGAAATTTTTTAAGTTTCTTGATACTCACCAACCAGTTGCACTCTTCCTGAAGACAGAAGTGTTGGATCATCCTTTCTGACATTATTTATTGAGTCATCTACTAGCTCTTTAATGTGATCAATTCCTATGACTTTTCCACTACATCCAACCTGGAGGAGATAAAATAATTCAATAGCTCATTGAGCTGTTTTTTTAAATAGTGTCATTGAAATGTTTCTTATCTAAAGTCATATTCTACAATAAGAAATCAAAAATAAACAGCATAAGCCTCCAATTCAGTTGCTAAACAGTTTATCATAAATTATTTACCATATATAACCTTCTCAACTGTCACTCTCACAGAATATTTAAGCGATTAAGAAGAAAGAATTACAAAACCTTACAATACTAAGCAAAATTATCTTTCTTAGATTTCTAATTTTTAAATCCAGAACTATGAATTTAACTACTAGTATTAATGGTAGTATAATTTTTTAAAAATATAAATTCCACTTAAAAGCAGCCTAACTTTAAATGTTAAAATGCTACGTAAAAAATTTGATGGAGAGAGATTTTCTACCTTATTCTACTGCTGCTAGTGAAAAACATATATAAATATTAAAAGACCCAAATATTAATACTAACTGTTAAAAAAAAAGTAACATAATAAAGATTTTGCACAGTTGGACTACCTGGGTTCTTATCTAAGTTTTATCACTTATAACTTTATAACCTTGAAAAGTTAACCTCAGCTATAAAACTAGGAGTAAAATGGTGTTTACCCCATAAAGGACTTGAAGACTAAATAAAAGGATACATGAAAAGCACTTAGAACACGAACTAGCACGTGATAAATGTGTGAAAAACTTTAATTTTTTAAATTTAAAAATCATGAAAAACCTAGTGGTTTTTAAAAATAAATATTCCTCTAAAACTATAAACATGTTGAGTGTAGAGAACAAGTCACTAATTAAATGCTACTCTAACCTTCTGGGGGAAAAAATCTGATACCCATTAATAAGGACTTATCTTTTACAAAACATCTGAAAAAATATGTGAGTCCTTATTGTGTGCCAAGCACTGTTCTCGATGCTTAGGACACACCAATGACAAAATATCAGACAAAATTCCTACCTCCTTGGAGCTTACATTCTAGTGGGTCTGCTGATTATATATTTATAGCAAGTTACATGGATTCTAGTACAAGATGGATTCATAAATCACAACTTAAGTAGACCAGAATCTTCCAGTGTGGCACCCTGGCATAAGATTCTCATAATCAAACTGTTCTGATTATCTGAACACAGATAAACCTTTACTCCAAGGTATACTAGTGGTTCCCAGCTTATACTCTGGATAATAATTTACCAGATAAGTCTCTGATGATAAAAGTTGAAGCATAATACACAAGCCATTTTTCTAAGAGCACTTTTTCTACTGTCATTCCCAATAAACCTGTAGGAGTGTTTGGAAACCAGGCTCACCCTATTCTTTTCTGCCAAGTGAGAACTTGGAAGACTAGTGTGGAGCTACTGGCTGCCATCCTGGATCATAAGGGTAGAGCCTACATGATAATACAACCAATATGTAGGGAAAAAGTAAAACCAAACCAAGAAACAGAGAGAAATCCACTGTCAATAACAATGTCTGGTCTTTTAAATCCAGCCACACAAGAAGCCAGATTTACTTCTAGACTTCTCCATTATATAAACTAAATAAATTCCCTTTTAGCTCTGCCAGTTTGGGTAAAATATTCTGTCACAACAACACAATCCTAAGTGATGCTCATTCTAACTGCTCTCTTAACTCATTCGCGATTGCCAACGTAAATTTACATCATTCCAAATTCTGTTCCTGGTTGCCGATGACGTGAACTTACATCTTTGCAAATTCTGTTTCTGAATGCTGCAATGTTGTCATATGTATGTGCTATTATATTTTGCTTGAAAATGAATAGTGAGGGAGAGAGAAAGTTAATTGAGATAAGTATCTGATATCGACTATGCAATGTTGTTATTGATTTACATAGTTGGTAAAAATTGCAAATTGGTCAATATTTTGTTGCAATTAGTCTTGTATGCCTGTATTTTGATATTTCAGGACTTTCATACTTCAACACTAAAAATAATTTACCAGTCAGACACGGTGGCTCATGCCTGTAATCCCAGCATTTTGGAAGGCAGAGGCAAGAGGATTGCCTGAGCCCACGGGTTTGAAACCAGCCTGGGCAACATGGTGAGACCTTGTCTCTACAATAAATCAAAAAAATTAACTGGGTATGGTGGCGCACACCTGTAGTTCCAGCTACTTGGAAAGCTGAGGCGAAAGTATTGCCTAAGTCCTGCAGGTTGAGGCTGCAGTGGCTGTGAGTGTGCCGCTGCACTCCAGACTGGGTAACAGAGTGAGACTCCAATTCAAAAAAATAATAATAATTTACCATAATTATGGAAAATGAAGAAATAAATGCTGATGAGGTCGAAAGTGAATCCAGTGAACTTACTAGTGATAGTGAGACAAATAGTGATGTAACAATGCAATGTAAATGAATATATAATATACATTTGGTTTATAACCCAAATAAAAATACAAAGTACGGAATGCTAGTCAGAGTGGTATCTGAGGCAAATACTGGATGTGTCTGCAACTTTCAGTTGTATTGCAAAAAAAGTGACAATTTAGAAAAGACCATTTCTCTTGTGCTTAATGACAGAAGTTTGTGGCAACCAGCTTCAGATTTTTTAAATTTTTAAAAATTTTCACCTGCTCTGAGTATTAGGAAAGTGAAAAATTTGCCAATCAATGTGTTAATAGACAAACAAACAACATCAAAACCACTAGTGAAAAAAAACACAGCCAAATCATACAAATACTCTTCTGTTGGGGCCAGAATAAAAAAATATAACTCTTACCATACGTGCAAAACATGCAGTAAGAATTCCACTTCCAGATCCTACATCAAGAGCTTTAGCTCCTTCATGCAACTGATCAAATAGAAGTTCTAGTGCATATGCATGCTGTCAAAAGAACAAAGCAAATATTCATTCAAGACTCTAAAGATCACATACTATGGCATACAAAGTTACCATTTTTCCACCAACTTTTCTACTATTGTCATCTACCAAGACAACAAAAACATATATTTACACAGGAATTACATAATTCTCACTGTTAGAATTCTTATACTTAGATCAAGTGATTCCATCATTTTAGATCTCCAGAGTATGAATTTTTTAAATGTAATTAATCCAAAGTCAAAAGATAAAAGAATTTATAGTAAAAAGTCCCTACTCCACTCCCATTCCCAAACCATCCAGTTTAACACACTAAAGGCAACCAATGTTACCAGCTTCTTGTGATTTCTTCCAAAAAATATTCATCCTTAGAATACACAAGCAAATACATATAAATTTTTTCATTTATTATATCTTGAAAAATCTTTCACATCAATACTCAAACAGCTTTTTATTCTTTTTGTGGCTAAGAAGTATATTCTTGTATAAATGTTATAATAACAAGTATCACTAATGGGAGATATTCAAGTTATCTCTAATCCTCTATAACAAAAAGATAAAATAAACTTATAATGTATATCTGTAGGATAAAATGTAATAAGATATATAAAAACCTTGTAAACTGTATCTATACGATAAACTCCTAGAAGCAGAATCGAAGGGCCAAAGGATATATGTTTTCATGCTTACAGTATATATAAATTATATATAAAATCATATTCATTATGCTTTGGATCAAACCAAGAAATAAAACCTTCTTTACTTCATCCTTATAAACTTGTATGTCAGAGCTTTTGCAAAATATGAAGTTGAATCTAATAAATGTTATTTTAAAAGCTGTCCTTAAATGCCTGGCATTTTCATTATTAAAAATCATCAGGTTCATTAGCAATAAACACATTTACTACCAGATCTTGGTTCCAACTAATAAACTTAGGAAACTGTCTTTGGGCAACCATCTCAGCAACAACTGGTTCAGGCAAAAATCATAAATGGAAGCTAAAACTAATGAATTAACATCTGATGAATAAACAGGATAGTCAGGATATTGACATAATCTCAAAGTATTTGCCCAATATACTTAATAATCACAAAATGAAAAACAGTAACTTTACAATGGAATTCAGAAAAAAAAATTCTCAGTTAAACGTAGTTGACACTATCTTAATCAGATGATTAAAGTTAGCATCACAATTAGGGGACACACACTTAGGCCTCTGCTAAGATATTTCACTTCTGGGACATGCTAGGCAAAAATGCATAACCCATACCAAATTATGAGGAAACCTCAAACCCAAATTGATGGATAGCATATAAAATAAGTGCCCCATATTCATAAAAATTTTCAAGGCCATCAATGAAAAGAATGAAGAACTGTTCCTCAGTTTTTCTTTAAAGAAAACTAAAAAGACAAACAATCAAATTACATTCATGATATGCAATTTTCTTTTCCTGTAAGGAATACTTATAGTCTGTAAGCTTGCTAACAGTATTATAGCAATATTAATTTCCATATTTTGAAAAGCATACTGTGATTATGTACAAGAATATCCTTACTTTTATAGAGGTAAAGAGTATTTGCCTGCAGTTTACTCTCAAAGAGTTCAGAAAAAAGGAAATAAATACACACATTCATATGGAAGAGGGACCAGAAAGAGAAAGAATAAATGATAAAGCAAATGTGGTCAAATAACATTTGGGGAACATGGGTAAAGGTATACAGGAATTGAATTATCTGTACAACGTTTCTGTAAGTTTGAAATTATGTCAGAATAAACTTATTTTATCATCAGAAATAGACAATGTCAAAATGAAGGGCAGAATGGAAACTCCCTATTCTGCAAAACTAATCTAGGTGATAAAAGTCAGAATACTGGTTATTTTGGGGAACTAAGAAAGGGCCCCAGGGAACCTTCTGAAGTGACAAAAATGTCCTGTATTTTGTTCTTGGTAGGGGTTTACATATGTGCACATGTAAAGATTCATCAAGCTGTAAACTTAAGATGTATACTTTATCATGTACCTATTATAAAAACATTTTTTAAAAACTACTTATTCTGGCCGGGCTTGGTGGCTCAGCCTGTAATCCCAGAGCTTTGGGAAGCCGAGATGAGTGGATTGCTTGAGTTCGCGGGTTCAAGACCAGCCCGGGCAACTCATCTCTACAATAAATCAAAAATTAGCCAGGCATGGTAGCATGTGCCTTTAGTTCCAGCTACTTGGAAGGCTAAGGCGGAAGGATCGCCAGAGCCCAGCAGGTCAGTGCGGTGGCCGGGAGCGTGCCAGTGCACTCCAGTCTGGGCGATGGAGTGAGACTCCAACTCAAAAACCCCCCAAAAAACCTACTTATTCTAAACACTAAAAGGAGATGATCAATATGTACTTCTTGATATGATACAACAGGAATGACCCATTAGAAATTGTTCTTGAAAAATTTTTTTAAAGGAACAAGTTAAACACCACAAGGGAAAAAAATCAACCAAGTTCAGAACATGGGAAATTCTATATGATGAATGAAATAGTTTCATCAATAAATAAATTACATTTTTTTAAAAAGTGGGGGGCAACCCCTTCAGGTCCCCTCCCGCTGTGGGAGCTTTTCTGTCTTCTCAATAAATCCTGCTTTCTCACTTTAATAAATAAATAAATAAATGGATTTTTAAAAGAGACTAAAAAAACTAAAACAAAACCAAAAAGAGTCAATGTATGGACCCTGTTTGGGTACTGATCTAAGTAAATTAACTACAAAATTTTTTTTAAGAAAATGGAAAAGTTTGAACATGGACATAAGGCAATCTTGTAACATTGTTAGGTATGGAAATCGCATTGTAGTTGTGTTTTTAAAGTAACTGAGATTTACACTAATGTATCTGGGATAAAATAATGCTTGGGATTTGCTTTAAAATACTTCAGCAAAAGAGAGAGAGTTAGATAAAACAAGATTAGCAAATTGTTGGTAATTATTAACGCTTAGTGACTATTACCTAAGGTTCATTATACTATTTTATTTGTGTGTGTGGTATTGGAACTCTTCCATAATAATGTTTTTTTCAAACAAATTAAAGCTATCTTTTCTCCCAAATAACACATGAGAAGGCCTTTAACAGATGTAGCATCACATAATCTAAGAGTTTTCAAATTTTCAAACCAGAAAGTCCACAGAACCCTGTTAGGGGTAACAAATAAATTTGTGTTAGATAGCTGTTTTTTGGCCGGGTGCAGTGGCTCACACCTATAATCCCAGCACTTTGGGAGGCCGAGGTGAGAGGACTGCCTGAGCCCGAGGGTTTGAGACCAGCCTGGGCAACTTGGCGAGACCTCATCTCTATAATAAATCAAAAAATTAGCCAAGTGTATTGGCACATTCCTGTAGTTCCAGCTACTTGGAAGGCTGAGGAGAAAGAATCACCTGAGCTTAGCAGGCTGAGGTTGCGGTAGTCAAGAGTGCCACTGCACTCCAGCCTGGGCAACAGAATGAGACTACAACTCCAAAAAAAAAAAAAAAAAAAAGGCTGTTTTTTCCCTCAGTCTATTCCAAGTTCATGCACTGCATTTGCCAATCTAGAATATGCTCCCCCAATTCTCCTCCTCCACCTACCACCTAGAACGCTGACTCATTTAAGAAGTCCTAGCAAGCTGTCCCTACACAGAATGCCCTACGTTCTACATGTGTCTACTTCCTCAGGGTTAGATTCAGACCAAAGACTTCTAGCAAGAGCACACACAGGTCTTACTGTACACCTCCTCAACAGCATCCTGTCAGGAAGCATGTAAAACTGGGCCATCTCACTACTGGACATGTCAGCCTCAACAATTCAGTAAACATAGTGACCAACAGATCACCCTATTTTCAAAGTAAATTTTTTTCTTTATAATTAAGAAGTGACATGTGGGATAATAATTTGAGACACGAATATTTTTGCTCTGCAATGTCTTCCTCCTCATAGATTTAGATTCATTAATAATTTTTACCTAATTCAAATATTACACTGATGACTAAAAAATAGGTGATTGTTAAAAGTTCATTATTCTTTATACATTAACTGGCATCCTTCTGTTTTTATGTAAAAAAGTTTTCAGTTTTTTTTTTTTTCTGTCTTGTTCTTTTTCTTTTTAAATCTCCATGGACTCCCATATTTTTGTTTTTCCATTCACTGTTATAATCTGTTATCTTCATCTCTTGACCACTGCATATACCACATTTTTCTTTACCACTCTGGGAAATATTCCAGGATTTAAAATACTCCCAAGTTTGTGATTTTAAGGTTTAATAGATGCAGATGTCATTTATCATGTTTTCCTTATTAAGAGTTATAAATTAGTTAGAAAATGTAAGTAGGCCCAGTGTGGTGGCTCAAGCCTGCAATCTCAGCACTTTGGGATGCCAAGACAAAAGGACTGTCTGAGCCCAGGAGTTCAAGACCAGCCTGGGCAACTTGGCAAGACCTTGACTCTACAATAAATCAAAAAATTAGCCAGGCGTGGTGGCATGTGCCTGTAGTTCCAGTTACTTGGAAGGCTGAGGCAGAAGGATTGCCTGAGTTTAGCAGATTGAAGGTGTGGTAGCCGTGAGCATGCCACTATACTCCAGTCTGGGCGACAGAGTGAGACTCAGATTTAAAAAAAAAAAAAAAAAAAGAGAGAGAAAAAAGAAAAGATAATGTAAGTAATAAAACATGTATCCTTTCTGGAAGAACATTCTGACACTAGCTATGACATGAATGAACCTTGTGAACAATATGTTAAGGAAAAAAAAGCCAGTCACAAAAAGACAAATACTATATGATCCCACATATACAAAGTACCTAGAGTAGTCCAATTCATAGAAACAGAAAATAGAATGGTGGTTGCCAGAGGCTGGGATGAAGAAGGAATGGGGAAAAGGGGAGTTGTTATTGAATGGGTATAGAGTTTTAGTTCTGCAACATGAAAAGAGCTTTGAAGATTGGTTGCATAATAATGCCAATGCACTTAACACTACTAAGCTGTACATTTAAAAATGGTTAAAATGGTAAATTTTATGTTACACATATTTTAATGCCATTAAAAATTTTAATACATTTAAAGAAAATGCATTTTCACCAATAAAAAGACAAATAACCCAATTAAGAAATGAGTAAGGCCAGGCAGGGTGGTTCACACCTATAATACAGCACTTTGAGAGACTGAGGCAGGAGAATTGCTTGAGCCCAGGTCTGAGACCAGCCTGGGTAATATAGTGAGACCTCATCTCTACAAAGCAAACAAAAAAATTACAAAATAGCTGGGTACGATGGCTCATGCCTGTAGCCCTGGTGACTTGGGAGGCTGAGGTGGGAGGATCACTTGAGACCAGGAATTTGAGGCTGCAGTGAGCGGTGATCATTGTACTCCAGTCTGGGTAACGGAGTGACCCTGTACTCCAGTCTGGGTAACAGAGTGACACCCCAACTCAAAAAGAAAAAAAAAATTTAATAAACATTACTGCAAAGGAGATACACAGATGGCCAATAAGCACACAGTAAGCTATTCAGCATCATTAACCATTAGGAAAATGCAAATCAAAACCACAATGAGTAGAGAAATTGGAATAATCATATATTGCTGGTGGAACTATAAAATGGTACAGTCACTTTGGAAAATGGTTTACCAGTTCCTCAAAATGCTAAACACAGAGTTACCATATGACCCAGCAATTCCACTCCTAGGTATATAATGTGCCCAAGAAAAATGAAAGCATAGAACCACACACAAAAAAACTGTGTCCACAAATGTTTATAGCAGTATTATTTAGACAGCCAAAAAGTGGAAACAATTCAAAAGTCTATGAGCAGCTGATAAACAAAATGCAGTATATCCAGACAATGGAATACTGCTCAGTCATAAAAAGGAATGCAGTACTGATTCATACTATGACATGGATAAATCTTAAAAACATTAACTAGGCCAGGCATGGTGGTTTAAGCTTGTAATTCCAGCACTTTGGGAGGCAGAGGCAAGAAGTTTGCCTGAGTCCAGGAGGTCGAGATCAGCCTGGGCAACTTGGAGAGACCTCATCTCTACAATAAATCAAAAAATAAGCCAGGTGTGGTAGCTGGTACATGCCTGTAATTCCAGCTGAGGTGGAAGGATCAGCTGAGCCCAGCAGGTTGAGACAGCGGTGGCTGTGAGTGTGCCACTGCACTCTACCCTGGGCAACAGAGAGAAACTCCAACTCAAAAAAAAAACAGTCACAAAAGGCCATTTATTATAAGATTCCATTTACATGGAATGTCCAGAATAGGCATATCTATAAAAACAAAAAGTAGATTAGTAGTCTCCAGGACCTGGGCAGAGCAGGGGGTGGGAACTGACGGCTAATGGGTATGGGGTTTCTTTTTGCAGTGATGAAAATGCTCTGAAATTAGACAGTAGTGATGTTTGCACAACTCTGAAGAGATTAAAACCACAGAAATGTATACTTTAAAGGAATGAATTCTATTGTATATGAGTTATATATTAATAAAATTGCTATTTTTGGTTGTTGTTAAAAAAAATGCATCCTTTGCCATGGAGTAACTGTCACGTTTTTTTTGGCAGTGAACTGAACATCCAGGACCAAACTTCTATGGAAAGAAAAAAAATCACACAGTATTACCTGAAAATATACCCTGCCAGTCAACTTCCAAAACATGCTGGGTTCCTGTTCTCCAATATAGCTTTCAAAATTAGGTAAATGCTTCTACATAAATCTTTCAATTTAAGTAGTAGTTCAAACTGTTGGCAGGTCTTAAGACTATGACTTTTCCGGGCTCGGTGGCTCAGCCTATAATCCGGCGCCTTTAGGAGGCTGAGGCGAGTGCATTGCCTGAGCCTGAGGGTTCGAGACCCGCCTGGGCAACTTGGCGAGACCTCATCTCTACAATAAATCAAAAACTAGCTGGGCGTGGTAGCGCACACCTGTAGTTCTGGCTGAGGTGGAAGGATCGCCGGAGCCCAGCAGGTCGAGACTTTGGTGGCCAGGAGTGGCCACTGCACTCAATTCTGGGCGACAAAGTAAGACTCCAACTCAAAAAAAAAGAACTATGACTTTCCTAAACATTAATTTATCTTAAAAGGTAATAAATAAATAGGCCATTCCTATTTCATGTTTAAATAAGTAAATAACAGGAGCGGTGGTTCATGCCCATAATCCCAGCACTTTGGGAGGCAGAGGTGAGAGGATTGCCTGAGTCCAGGGGTTTGAGACCAGCCTGGATGACAGAGTGAAGACTCGTACTCAAAAATTAATTAATTAAGTAAATAAATAAATAAATGCATAATGGGTCAAGTACATACAGTAAAAATACAGATCTCACTTCCACTTCAAATCACCTAGTTCCCTACCTTAGAAAAAATCATTTTTCGTTTTCATTCCTATAGAAAAATAAATGTGCATGTACTTGATTTTTGTACATTATAGAACACTCTCATGCACTGTCTCTTGAATTACAGAACACCCTTATACGCACTGTCTCTTGAAGACTTTACCATTTTCATGCTTGCAGAGCTTCCTCTTTTTTTTTTTTGAATCCCGGTCTCATTCTGTTGCCTAGGTTGGAGTGCAGTGGTATGATCACAGCTCACTGCAGTTTCAACTCTTAGGCTTGGACAATTCTTCCACCTCAGCCTCCCAAGTAGCTAGGACTAGAGGTGCATGCCACCATGTCTGGCTAATTTTTTTTTTTTTATTGCCTAGGTAGGTCAACTTCCTCATTTAACAGCTTCACAATACTCCACAACATGGACATACCCTTAGTTACAATGGTTCAACTTGTGACTTTTGGACTTTATAATGGTATACAATGTTGCCAAGATATGTCAGATTTTTTTAAGGGCTTCTATGTTTTTGGTCAAGCTTTAAAAAAGCCTTTTCTATTGAATTTTAATAAATATATCCTTTTTTTCCCCCTAATACAATAATCAGTTCACTTGAAGTACATACATAGAATTTATTTTGGTATAAAGTTTAAATAAAAGCTTCTACAAACTCAAATTCTTGCAAAGAATCAGAATAAAGCTATTGTTCTTTCCACCAAAATACAACAGAGTACTCATTCAAATATTGACATATAAGACTCAAAAAAATTCCCAACAAATTAAAAGTGCTAGATTACTTAAAATACGTCCTTCTCACAAACCTATGCACCCTCATGGAAGCTACACTTAACCATTTCCTAATGAATTTTCCAAATAAAATGCAAAATGATATTCAACTTGAGGTTTCTATAACATGTCCACTACACTATTTAAAATATTCTCTTCTTTAATTAACTCATCATTAAATAACCTTTCATGTTCAATTTTTACATGTCATAGAAACTAATGACATCACCAAAAACTTTAATATGACAGTTTCCACCAAGAAGAGCTCCTTCTACAGACCATGTATTAGGTTAAAAACTGAAAAAGAATAAGATGCTCATTACCAATTTACATAGATGACAAAATTGATATAATTAAAATTTTAAAACTTTCTTAAAATCTTTTTTACTGAAGAGAAACAGATCACACAGAAAAAGGTGATCTACCCGGAACCAAATGAACAAAGGTAACTTACCATGTGTGGAGCACTGATTGTTGCTTGGAAACCTGCAAAACAAGAAAAGAACTACTGATACATTCAGTTGCAAAAATATACTGGATATTTCATATAATTCCTTTTTTAACATCCATACATATTTTTTCACAATAATTCTTTTTTAAGTTTTATGATTTCAAGAAAATAAAACTTTTACTTGTTAAAGTTCTGCCACATAGTAGTTAAAATTAGAAAATATAACCATGCCAGAGGCTAATGTGCTCATCTAGTAAAACAGTCCCAACTATTTCCACAAATTTCTTCTCCTGTATTATTTGGCTAAGAAAGGAAGAATTTCAGTAAGTTGAGAGTTGATACATTTTTTACTTGTTTTTCCTTCACATTCATATTTTTAAAAAGTTTCCATATATAATAGGTATGCAAAATCTGTACAAAATTAAACTACTTAATATTTCTGGCAATCTTAAAAAAACCAGAGCAACTAGCAAAGTATCTTAAGAGACTAATAAACTACTTCATCTTATTCTGCCTCTTATATGATGTAAATTAACACAATTTTTCTTTGTTCTTAGCTTTCAGTTTCTTTTCTTCCAGTGTTGCTTTCTCAAAACTTATTTACCTGCTGCTTTCTGCCTCTGAAGCAATTTTCACTGAGCGGTGGTAGCAGGTGCCTTCGGGGTTCAGAAGCTCCCCAGGATCTTCTCTGCTGGCTGTTACTGTGCTTCAAAAGAAGATAGCATGGCAGCTGGCTGACAGAATCCTGAGGCACTTCTAAGCCTCAAAGGCGCCCACTGCCAAGGCTCAGCAGTTCAGCAAAACCTGCTTCAGGAGAAGGAGTTAAATATGGGACTTTCTAAAACAAACACAAGCCAAAAAAATCAGGGCAAGTGAAGCAGAGAAGTTGGTAATAACCTAAGTACACTTATTTTCTTTAAATATTGATTTAAGAAATGAATGCTGATGAGAAAAGCAATCTTTAGTTAGAATTAAGGCCTCTAAAGAAAACTTAGCACTCAGCTAAAACTATAAGTTTTCATTAAGAGTTTTGTTTCCATTAATATATTTTATCCAAAAAATGTTTAAATTGTTTATACATATTACATATTGTTTGTTAAAACAGAAAAAGATATATCATTTTATTAAAATAGATGTTTCAGATTATGAAACTTACTAAATCATAACATTAAAAATAACAAGGTAATAATAGGTAAACATCTGTGTCTTTTCCTACTTGCAAAAATCATAAAGTAAATGAGGAAAAGTGCAACATTTTCAGAAATCTAAATCTTACCTATTGATTGTGGAGAATCCATATAAGGGTTACATTTTGCATAGTGCGAGCGGTCTGTAGCCAGCATCACTTCAAATACTTTATCTGTCTTGATGATTCCATTTTCTGAAATGAATGAGGCAAATCTTTTCAGCAGAGTGACATAATCAGACGCATTTTAGAAGAATTACTCTGGTTGCACTATAGGGACTGGACTGGGAGACAGAATTACTGGGAGTTGTTGCAATGGCCCAGGTAATGGCAATCTGGTCTTTAATGATAACAGTAAAAGCAGAGGGAAGTAGGATTTGAGTTTATTTAGTAGTTAATAAATACTTGACTGACTGGATTTGGAGATGGGAGTAGGGGTAAGGGTTGAGATGCTGATACCATTCACTGATTTCCAAAATCCTGGAGAAGGATCAGAGGAAAGGGGCAAATTATTTATTCAGGTATATATTCAGGTAGGGGTTATAGATCCTACAAGAGGGGATATTCAGCTGTCAGTTATACACATGGATCTGAGGCTCAGGAAAGAGATCTAGGATAGAGGCATAGATTTCTATTTCTGTAGACAACAACTGAAGTGAATTAAAAGTGGTCAAGGAAGAAGAGAGAAGAAAAACAAAAGCCAGCATTAAAGATATATGCAAAGAAGTGCAGCCTTATACCAAAAAGAAATAAAAACATATGACCACATAAACTTATACAGGAATGTTCACTGCAGCATTATGTAGAAAAGCCAAAAGGTGGAAACAATCCAAATGTTCATCAACGAACAAATAAACAAAATGTTGTATATCTATACAATGAAATATTATTTACCCATAAAAGGAATGAAAGACTGATTCACATCACTACATGGATGGATCTTGAAAACATTATGCTAAGTAGACCAGACATGGTGACTCATGCCCATAATTCTTGCATTTTGGGAGGCAGAGGCAGGAGAATTGCTTAAGCCCAGGAGTTCGAAACCAGTCTGTGCAACACAGTGAGACCTCATCTCTACAAAAAAATAAAAAATATTAGTTGGGTGTGATGGCGCATGCCTGTAGCCCTAACTACTTCCCAAAGTGGAAGGATCACCCGAGCCCAGGAGTTCAGGGCTGCATTGAGCGGTGATCTGTGCCACTGCACTGCAGTCTGGGTAACAGACTCCAACTAAAAAAACAAATAATATGGTAAGTGAAAGAAGACCACATATTGTATGAGCCTATTAAATAAGATGTCCAGAACAGGCACATCTATAGACAGGAAATAGATTAGTGGTTGCTTAGGGCTAATGATGATGGGCGAATAGGAGGGTGAGACTGAGTATCTGTTTGAGGTAACAAAATATTAAGTTGACCATAGTGATGGTTGCATGTATTTGTGAATAAGAACTAGTGAACTGTACAATTTAATTGAGTGATTTAGATGATATGGAACTATAATGTACCAAAACTGTTTTTTAAAAAAGTCAGTGGAACTGGGGGTAACCACTACCAGAAGCACTGCTTCTGAAGGAAAATCAGATAAATAGCAAGAGTATAGTACCTTTTGGGAGATGTGGCAATAAAGGGAAAGAAAGAATAAAGCTAAGAATCCTGCATGAACAAAAAACCAACAAGGTATGCTAACTTCTACCCTCTCCCCATCACTGCTACCAATACCATCAGCCATTAAAGAAACTGCAAGTCAGCTGGGCATGGTGGCTCACTGGTGGGAAAACTGGGAGGTACTTTGGGAGGTTGAGGTGAGAGGATTGTTTGAGGCCAGGAGTTTGAGACCAGCCTAAGAAACACAGCAAGACCCTGTCTCCATTTTTATATTAAGAAAGGAGGAAAAGGAAAGGAAAGAAAAAGGAAAAGAAAATAAATAAAATGAAACTTCAAGACACTATACAGACAGGACAGGATGCTCTTGAACCCTGTCCACAAAATGCCTAAAACTAGGAAAGAAAGAAAAAAAGCAAACCAATGCAACTCAAAGCTATTGTAAAAAGAAAACTAACTGCAAATCAAAATATTTCAGCTGATTAAACAGAACCAACATTTAAAACAATATTCTAAGAAAACTCCCAGAAAGTAAGTAAAAATATTATCAGAACAATTAATGCAATATACATTCTAAAGAAACTATCAGATTTTAAAGGCAAGGAAAAAAGATCAAATTACCTAGTAAGGGTAAAAAAAAAAAATTTAGTAACCACAGGTTTCTTTTTGTTGTTGTTGCTGTTGAATTGGAGTCTCAACTCTCTTGCCCAGGCTAGAGTGCAGTGGCACACTCAAGGCCACCTCAGCGTCGACCTGCTAGGCTCAGGTGATCCTTCTGCCTCAGCCTTCCAAGTAGCTGGAACTACAGGTGCATGCTACCATGCCTGGCTAATTTTTTATTCATTTATTGTGGAGACTAGGTCTTGCCAAGTTGCCTGGGCTGTTCTCAAACCCATGGGCTCAGGCAATTCACTTGCCTCGGTCTCCCAAAGTGCTGGGATTACAGGCTGAGCCACCGAGCCTGGCCACAGGTTTCTTAAAAGCATCATTCAAAGCAAAACAAGAATAAAGCAGCATTTTCAGGAAATTCAGGGAATAAAAGTGCAAGTCAACAATAAAAGTGAGTGAATTACTGATACATCCAACACCGTCAATGAATCGCAAAAGTACTAATGTAAGTGAAAGAAGCAAGGCAAGGAGACTATATACTATGTCATTCCATTTAAAACAAACTCTAGAAAAGCCAAAACCATAGTTGCACAGGCCAATCTGTAGTTGCTAGGGGTTGGCAGTGGAGGGAAGAGATCAATTACAAAAAGACCGGAGGGAACTTTTTGGGTGAAAGCAGCATTCTATAGTAAAGATCAGCAAACATCTGTAAAAGGCCAAATAGTAAATATTTTAGGCTTTGCAGGCCATACAGTCTCTGCTGCAACTACTAAACGCTGCCACTGTGGTACAAAAACAGTCACAGACACTACATAAATAAGATTGTGTTATGTTCCAGGTAGCAGGCAGATTTGGCCTGTGGACTGTAGTTTGCTGACCTTTGTTTTATATCATAATTTGGGTGGTGATCATGCACTATATGTGTTTGTCACACTTTCCAAATTGCATTCTTAACACTGATAAAATTCAATGTAAATTACACCTCAATAAAGCTGATTTTTAAAAGTATAAGTCAAGGATTTTATACTCAGCCAAGGTGTCCTTCAGATATCAAGGCTAAAGAAAAAAAGTGTTTTGAACATGCAAGAACTCAGAGAATGCTGTACACACAAGCCCTTAGTGAGGAATCTTCTAGGGGATATGCTTTATCTACCCAAGAGATAACCAGTGATACGTCAGCCAAGGACACATATCCAACTGTAGAAGCAAAGACTAAAATAAGGATAGGGACATGTGAACTAACAATACTTAAAATATTATGTATTCTAACAAAGCAGAAAGCACATAACTAAAAACAATGAGAAAAAAAGTAGAATTAGATCACCATTGTGTGGGTAACAGAAGGAATCAAAGATACCACTTAATACTGATAGATCAGATAGTAAAAAGATACAAAAAAGATAAATTAACAGCACCATACAAGCCTTTTAAATAACAAAAGAATTTTTTTTTAATAGCAAACAACACATATCAAATGGAGAAAACACTGTAAATAGTCATAGCTGGGCAATATGATAAACGTAATCTTCCCATTTTAAAATATACATTTTGGAAAATAACCCAAAATAGAAAATATTTCTACACAAAAAAAGCCTAGGCAGACTACCCAAAAGATGATTAAAATAAAGCAGTGCAGTGGCTCACACCTGTAATTCCAAGACTTTGGGAGGCTTAGGCACAAGAATTGCTTGAGGCCAGGAGTTTGAGACCAGCCTGGGGAACATAATGAGAGACCCCTCTTTACAAAAACTAAATAAATTAACCAGACATGATAGCATGCAGCTGTAGTCCTAGCTACACAAGAAGATTGCTTAAACATAAGGGTTTGAGGTTACAGTGAGCTATGATTGGGTCATTGCTGCAGCCTAGGCAACAGAGTGAGACGCTGTCTTAAAAAAACAAAACAAAATAAAACAGTGAAAGTATTTTTTAAGTTTCAAAAGCAAAGTAATAATAATAGAGATATTTACTGAATATTTACCATGTGATAGGTACACTCCTAAGAACTTTCCATTAACTATCTCTTTTAGGATATGAACTCACAAATTATGAAATAATCTTATGCCATCTTAACAAGCCTATAAATTAGGTACTATTATTGCTCCATTTTACAGATGATAAAGTTGAGATAAGAAACACTAGTTAAGTAGTCCAAGATCAAACACAAATAAGAGGTAGGGCCATTGATGTCAGCTTTCCAATGAGCATTCTTTTTCACTGCTGGTGGGAAAATAAAATGATATAACCTTAAAAAAAAAAAATGTTAGCTTTCTGTTTACCACATCACTGTACTGCTACTAACATATTCAAATAGCTTAGTGGGGTCCACCAATTCATCTCCCAAAATAATTCTTGAGTTATTCATTTCCCTGAAATTCAAATTCCAGTGGTGTGATTCACAGACTTTCAAGGCTATATAAGAGGCCTCAGATGCCATCAAGTCTAACTTCATAAATTGGTATCATATTCTATTTTTTTTTTTTTTTTTTAATAATTAATCAGTATTTTTATTATAGTTTTGTGGGGTACAGTTAAGGGTTAGGTGTACAATTACGTTTCATTCAGACACCCTGTTGATAAGAGGTGTTTTCCCAGCCCCAGACAGATATTTGCTACTGTTAATCCCCTCCCCCTCCCCTCATATTCTATTAATGTGATTCTTACTAGCTCAAATAGCCCTTTCCACATTCAAACCATTCTGATTATTAGAAAATTTCCCTGTATTAAGATGAATCTTCCTTTTTATAACTCACTCACATGAACCCTTAGTGTTGTTCCCTGCAGCCACAAAGAATATACTGAACTTTCTATCTGGCCAATCTTTTTTACACATCTGAAGATTTATCATAAGTACCTCAAGTCTTATTTTTTACAGGTTAAGCAGTCTCATTCAATATTACAATTATTAATGAATTTTTAAAACCATCATCATATTAACTTTATTCATGCTTCTCTAGATGGATAGTTAAAGTGTAACAT